CTGTCGTCATATCAGCCTCTTCCGTCATCATCGGAGTTAGAGTTGAAGACTGCTCAGGAGTAGGCTCGGCTGATGGCGTGTCAACAGAGAAGTTGGGGTGGCTGGCGGCGGCGCCGACAGGACACTTCACCTTGCTCGGAAAGCTGGGTCTTCGACTGGTATGCGTGAAGATCTTGCTGTCCACTGGCGTCATTTTAAGCTGCTTCCGTGACGCTGAGGAGGAGATGCGCTCCAACGCAGTGGCTAGTGTCTTCTGCAGGCCAAAAAAAGAAACGATAGTGCAATTAATCTCGGCGACACACACACACAATAAGAGGTAGGTTGTTTGTAAAAATGAACAATTGGCACAAACACAAAAAGGCCTTAATAAAAAAGGGTCACCACGGCCCTAAACTTTGGCATTTACTGAGCTGAGTATAAATGCGCAATAGTCCTTGAGGAGGGTAGAGTCTAAGGACAAGTTACAAAAATCGCATTCCCCAGCATTCTCACATTTCTCTCTCGTGATATTTCGTCCATTGCAGACGGGAACAGGAATCCCCGCCGGGCTTTTGTTGCTATTGCCGAAAGTATAGCTTTTAAAGACGAAATAGGTGTTGTGCAATCAAAACTTGTACTTCTTATGGCTGCGATCACGACTGATCTAGCCGTACCCTACTTGGACATCCTAGTCGCATTACTCTGACTGATAACCACTGTTCCGTACAACGAAAATCCTGAGTAAGTCATTATGAAATACACGGTGGGATTCGAACCTACGTCAGCCAGGGGAAGGGCTTTAGTACGGCCATGGCCCCAGCCAACTGACTTACGAAGTCCCAACCGTGAGATTAATCAGACTTGGAGCAATTTACCCCCGGTTTCCGGTGGGGAGCCTCGTAGCTCAGTTGGTTTTACTAAAACCCTCTCCTATGCTGGCGAATCCCACTGAGACCGCCGAGTTTTTGATAATTGGACCAGTGAATTATTCAAGTCAGTCAAACGCCTCCTAATAATTAAGTGTGTCTGGTGGATTGTAGATTGACTGCTTAGGAAATTCTACTTTAGCAGTCACCCCAATGTACCATAATTGGTGGATTCTGTAAGTTGCAGTAGGCTGGGCGGGTAGATCGACCTACGTGTGATCAAACTCACGGCTGCCGGTGGGGTGGGGGGGGGACTCGTAGTTCAGTTGGCTAGAGCGTTTGGCAGCACTAAAACCTTCCCACCGAGGCCACCAATTTGTTGGTAAAGTGGTACAATGAATTATTCAAATCTACCAACCTCCCCCCTACTGAGTACATGGGTGCCAACAAAATATTAGGAGGATAAAGATCCGGGTAGGAGAAGGTGACTGTTCCATGATGGAAGGCGCATTCGGCAACAAACTCCCTATGAGCCTCTTATATATACAATCAATGGCAACGCTCACCTTTTCCGAGAGGGAGAAAATAAGATCGTGGGTACGAGCCGGGCTTAGGGGAGCCGGCTGCTGTCCGGCTTGGCACCTCCGTTCCTGTGACTGGGAGTAGAGGCCTTCGAGGTTGACGGAGAGGACAGCGCCGAAGGTAGTGTTGGAGTCCAGTGCGCGTAGGTCTTCAGCTGACAGTTGGCGCACAATGGCCGCACGCAACGCGGAGGATTCAGTGTGCCGGAGGAAAGCATATGGCTGTGTTTAAGAAGTGCAATAAAGCTAGTCAAGTAGAAAGAATAAACTCAGCTGGCAACAATATAGTAGTTAGTTAGTTAGTTAGTTAGTAGTAGTAGTAGTAGTAGTAGTAGTAGTAGTAGTAGTAGTAGTAG